CTACAGGGCTTCTGTGAGATACTGGTCTTCTACTGGTCCAGTGTGTCCTAACAGTTTTCCAAGCCACAGGCCTAACCGTGTTACCACCTGGACACAAGCTGTAGACAGCTTATGTAAAAACAACACACAAACCCTACAAGTGGTTCCTGTCATCTTTTGTGTGATCTTATTATCCATCTGCCTGGGGTCCCTCAAAGAAACCCAAGTATTTCCTAAAGTCTCTCTGGAGATTCATCCTGCTGTGGGCTCCGTGCAGAAAGTATTGCTCCGCCTTGCCCTTCCTTGGGCACAGTTCCTGTGGGCACAGTTCCTGTGGGCACAGTGTTCGCCATTTATGTCACTTCACAGTGGTGCTATGAGCACCAACCAGGACAAAGCCAGGGTTGAGTCCACCCTGGACTCCATCCATGTTTAAAGCCACACACTTGTACATTTTGCAGAATTAAATGGAGCCTAAAGGAGCTCTGCCACACACACATCTGCTCTTAACCCTGATGGGCTGAGGTGTGCCCGTCAAATGAGTCTAATGCCTGGGGGAAGTGGACAGTAGGAGGGTGGGGAGGTACTAATGAACCCTGGAGATGAGCACTGCCTAGGAACTCGGTGGGCAGTGCTCCTAGGCCCTGGCCAGACTCGGCTTTGCTGCAGTCCGCCACCAAGTTCCCAGAAGATTCTGCCGTACTGAGTGGTGACAGTGAGCCAGCCCTGAGCCTACCGGAGGCATAACCCAGCCTTACCAAACTCAGCGTGGCTGTGTTCTTGGCAGGACATTGGAAAGATCTCAGAGAAAGAATCGTTGCTGTGAGAGGGAGCGGACAGAGCGGGAGATAACCTGCTTTGGAAAATGGAGTTACTCGTGCCCAAGTGGGAGGCTCTTGACAGTAGCAAAGGCAGTGGCCTCCACTGTTCCTGGGCCCTGAGGTCCCCTAGGGGATGTCATGGGCAGGGTGTGAGTTGAGGTCTAAGGAGAAAGGAGCCCGCCCTCACCCACCCACCCCACCCCAATCACTTAGCGTTTTCCCTGTTTTCTGCCCTCATTAGGAAATGCCCCTTACCCTTTTCCCACAGCCCATCAGGCTCTAGGCCCCAGCTCCCCTCCACAGATTCAACAGGTGTCTCAAGCCCTCCTGACAAGTGGATGGGGGCTCAGAGGGGACTTGGGGGTACCAGGGTCTTCTGTGCCCTGGAGGTAAGGAAAGGCTGGGAAGCCTTGCTCCAACTAGCTGTGAAACTGGTTCCGAGTCACGTGGTTCCTGGCAGGCATCCTGAGCATAGGACAGGCCCAAGGGAAGCCCTGTCTGCAGGGCGGTTGTCATTCGGGTAGCTAACAGTGGGAGGTTACAGAGTTTAATTAAAGCACAGATCTGAACTCGAGGTCTGTGACTTGCCATCCTTTGCCGTCAGGGTATGGGGCTCACCTTCCCAGGTGAGGTGAGGTCCACAGGGCCAGGCCTCAGAGCAGAGCCCTCGCTTGTGTGGAGAGTGCAGCTTGCCAAGGCTGTCTAGGGGTTTTAAACAGGCAAGGCACAGTCAGGTTTTCGCAGGTGAAGGGCTGGGCTGTGGCTCAGCTCGTAGAGTGTGGGCTTCAGTCTCAGCAGTGAAGAAACCAGGCACAGTGGCTCCTTAGGAAACAGAGGCAAGAGGGCCAGGAATTTAAAGTCTTCCTTGGCTACACAGTCGGAGGCTGACCTACATGAGACCCTGTCCCCAAGGGGACAAAAAGCAAAATCACAGAAGCCCGAGTCTCTGGGACAGAGGGTGAAGTGCAAGGACTACAGGAGCTGTGGGGTTGCTGGATCCTGCACAGAGGGGTTCTGCCCCTCAAAACAGATACGGCTCCCAGTGCCTCGAGCTGCATTTCAGCCGACCAGCTGCGTGCTGTGTGCTGTGACTAGTTTTTCCGTGTTGCTCCAGTGTCTGAGTGTGCTAGGCGGGTAGTGAACCACGTCTGCAGTTGTCAGTGTGGGTTTCTGTCCCAACAGTGCGGCACTTGAGGATGGAGACTTGGTTGGGCTGCCCGTGGGGAGGTGGCAGCCAGGGGTCCCTGTGAGGTCCTTACTAGTGCCATGAAGCCATGACTGTCCCTGTCTCCTACAGTGGAGCGGAGACGGAGGGACAAGATCAACAACTGGATCGTCCAGCTTTCGAAAATCATTCCAGACTGTCATGCAGACAACAGCAAGACAGGAGCGGTGAGTGTCCCCATGTCCACTCCCTTCCGGAAGTCTGGCTGACCCCAGGCACAGGCGCTGGGTCCTGTCCGCTGACTCTTGCCTGCTCCCCACTCCAGAGTAAAGGGGGCATCCTGTCCAAGGCCTGTGACTACATCCGAGAGCTACGACAGACCAACCAGCGAATGCAGGAGACCTTCAAGGAGGCCGAGCGGCTGCAGATGGACAATGAGCTCCTGAGGCAGCAGGTGGGTGTGCACCTGGAATCCACTGGGCCCTGGAGGCCGAGGGCTAGCCCCTGGCTCATGTGTCCTCTGGTGCCTGCAGATCGAGGAGCTGAAGAATGAGAACGCCCTGCTTCGAGCCCAGCTGCAGCAGCACAACCTGGAAATGGTGGGCGAGAGCGCCCGGCAGTGATGCCCACTGGCCCACCCTGCGGCCGCTGCCGGCCGCTGCTGCCCTCCCCAGCCCTTAGCACAGAGGGAGATGCCCCTCCCCAAGCTGCGTTTTTTATAGTAGATTTTTAACAAAAACAAGGAGACATAATGCATTTCTGTGGATCCATTGCCCACTACCCTCCTCCATGCGGAAATGATGCCCACCTGCCCACCTGTCCATCAGCCTCCCTTCTCGGTCCTCACCAGCCCATCACTTCTAGTGGGCTCACCAGGAGGAGCAAGGGAGGAGGACAGGGGCCCCGCTGCCCGCTGCCTCCTTGGTCTCTAGAGGTATTGAGACAGGGTGCTTATGGGAAGGAGGGAGCTTTGGGGGCGCCTTCCCTGGGGCCTGGACCTAGGCAGGGAGGCCACGTCCCCCATCCCTCTTGTTTCTGGATCCCTGCTCCCCTCTGGGTGTGTGGGGGGGGGGGGGGGGGTGTGTGCGCGTGCGTGCGTGTGTGTGAGTGTGAGTGTGTGTGTGTGTGTGTGTGTGTTAATTTTCTTTATGGAAAAATGGACAAAAAAAAATAGAGAGGTATTTAACTGCAATAAACTGGCCAGTGTGGCCCCGCCTTGTCTGTCTGTGTCGGTCCATGTTGGGCATGGGGGCGGGTGGGAGTCATAGAACCTTCCTGAGGTCCAAGCTTCAGCTGTAGTGTGACTGGGTGAAAATGGCTGGGAGAATTAAGGACTGGATTTCTCCCTTGAGGCCCTGGAGTGCAGATTAGGGGTGTGGGAACTTCAGTCAAGGACGTGCCCCCTGATGTTGGAGGGGAGGCTGGAATCTCCCAGGTCAGAGCTTCTTGAAAACAGGCCTGGTGAGCATCCCTGGGCTCTGGAGCTGAAGCCCTCCCCTCTGCACCAGCCAATGATGGGGCCTGGCCTTGAGCCCCCCACCCCCAAGGGAGGGCAGATGGCCAGAAAGCCAGGCTTGGCCCGGCAGTCTGTCGCCTCACACCGTGGCTCTGGCGCCTGTGCTGTGACCCCTGGCCTTGGCTGATGATGAAACCTGTCCTGAGCAACCACAGTGATGCCTGGCAGGGCTGGGGGATACCATCGTGTCCCCAGAGACTGGTTCACCCCTTCCCAGGATCTGGGGCTGCCTGTCAGTTACACCTTGCTGCACTTTCGACCTGCCACAACCTCAGGACACTGATGGCCCCTGGTTTCCGAGAACCCTGACTTTGACCTTCCCACTCCCTAAGGCTCTCTGAGAGAGCTTGTGAAGCAGATGAGGGGCCCTAGTGAGCAGCGGAGTGGCAGCAGCATTCCCAGGGCTCTACACAGATTGATCACAGATTGGTCCCTTCCTGAGTCAGGCCTGGTGCCCACTATCCTGTCTGGAGTCAAAGTTTAATAATGTCTCAGGCCGTACACATCGAGGGATCCAGGTAACAGGAATGGGGGCACCACACAGGCTTCAATAGTACCCCAAGAACACAACTATAAAAGCCCTAGTGTGTGCTATATACCAATTTCTGTGGTATAAATTCTCCCAGCATGGCAATTGAGAAGGTCTTGGCATAGTTCCACTGCACTTGAAGTTGTATGACGGGCATAGTCTGCCAAGCCAAGTCTAACATGCTGCTCTGTCCCCTGTGCTTAGAGGGAGATGGAAGTGTTTCTGGTTTGGGAGTTTTTTTGGTTTTTCGAGACAGAGTTTCTCTGTGTAGCTTTGTGCCTTTCCTGGAGCTCGCTCTGTAGACCAGGCTGGCCTCGAACTCACAGAGATCCTCCTGCCTCTGCCTCCCGAGTGCTGGTATTAACGGCGTTCGCCACCACCGCCCGGCTGTGGGAGATGGAAGCTTGACAAATAGATCAGGCCAGGCCCCTGGGTCAGTGACTAGAAGGCAACTTTAAACCTAAACACTAGTGAACCCAGGAGGAAGCAGGCAACCACTTGGAGGTCAAGTAGCACCAGCCGTTAACACAGAAGTGAATTGGTACTGATTAAAAGACAAGGTGAATTAGTTTGTGCACTGGCATGTGAGAGGATGAACTAGCTCATATGCTGGGCTGGGAAGTGTGCTGGCTCTGGCTATGAATAATGACTGCCACCACCATAGGCGAAAGGTGACTTCAACACAACAGCTACATCGTATGATCTGGACATCGGACACCATGGTGGAGCCTATGCTTGGGCATCTGTCCAGTCCCTTGGCCACTGTTCCCGACTCATGCTCGGATGCATTCTGCACATGTGTACCCCATTGCTGAGGTCTTTCTGGGGAGCCCAGTGAGTGACAGCCATACTGAAGACACCAATAAAGGAGACAGGCAATATCTAGGGGAAAAGGGGAGATTTTTTTCTGCGATCCACAGGGTGACATCACAGGTGGCTGGCTGGAGGCTTGTGTCCATGGCCCTAGCTGCCCCACCCCCCCCACCCCCACCCCCGATGCACCTCTGCTGGCTGAGGGTGACACAACCCTGTCTGTCCCCTGTCACTGTTCCCGCTTATCTCTCCCGCCTGTTCGGCGCCACTGTCTTCTTGGAAATGAGTCAGGGCAAAGGGGAGGGGGCTCAGGTGTCCCCTCCTCCAATCGGTCCCATAAAAAGGACAGAGACTGGGTCCTAGACACCACGCAAATCCTCGGACTACACAGCAGAACAGAAGGCACGATGATTCGGAGCACCAAGATCCAGGCTGCCTGTCTCCTGCTTCTCCTCATCGCCAGCCTGACCAGCAGCACCCTTCTCCAGCAGCTGGTGAGCATCCTAGGCCTGCCGCAGTGGGAGAGCCATCCCCAGGAGGCAGGGGCTCCTCAACACTGAGCATTCAGGGCAGCCACTGAGGAGACAAGAGTGGTCCTGAGTGGAAGGACTGAGGCACTCCCACCCTCAGCTCTACAGGTGTTGTGGAAAGGGAACATGAGGAACATGCTGGAAGCCAGACAAAATATTCCTCTGGCTGTCCATCCCAGTCAGGGCATTCCTTAAACTGCCTTTAAATGACTGTTTTCTAAACACTTATTTGTGGATAGCACAAAAGATGATGGGCGGAATGACTATTATGAGGAAGGACCAGAGGGGGCCAAGAGGCAGGAAGCCAAGCAAAAACATTTTATAAGAAAATGATAGAGAAGGGGCTGGAGAGACAGCTCAGCAGTTAGAGCACTTGGTGCTCGTGCAGAGGACCTGGGTTCAGTTCCTGGCACCTACATCGTGGCTCACAACCATCCTTAACTCTAGTTGCAGGGCATCTGATGCCTTCTGACCTACACAGGCAATAGGCATGCCTGTGGTGCACACACATATATGCAGGCAGGACACTCATGCACATAGATCTGGAAGGAAGGAAGTGCTACTGAGCCAGGCTTAGTATGGACACTCAGAAGATGGAGGTGAGAGCATCAGGAGTTCACAGTCATCCTTGGCTACATAACAAGTTCAGTGCCAACCTGGGCTATGAAAACCCTGTCTCAAACAACAACAAAGATACTAGATTTGTGCCTTGGAGCTGAGACAGCAGATTGGGCACTCCAGTGAAAGGCAATCACAGGACCCAATCACAGATCTGTAGGGTCTGATGAGTGGCATCAGTGTTGGAAGTAAGGAGAGGGCAGTGGCAGTTCTGTCTGCCAAGTTTTGTAGACAGCTGTGCAGATGATGATTGGTCCTTGGGTTGCTGAGAAAGGGAAAATCCACAATCCAACTGATGCTGATAGGTTACTATGCTATGTGGTGACCTGATTATAAGGGATAAGATACAGGGAGATCTGTTGGGAGGGTAGTGTCCAGAAAGAAAATACAGTAACAAAGAAGGTGGGATGTTTTTACGAAGGAGAACATCCAAGGAATGATGGGAAAAAACAGGGCAGTGAGGTCTCTTCTAGGAATTCCATATAAACAGGTCCCTAAGTTCCTGGGAAAGGAACAATCTGGCAAAGACATGTCAGAAGAATGCTGGAGACCCCACAGTACTCAAGTACCCTTTCTACTTCCACAGGTGAGACAGCCTGAAGCCCTACAGCCTCGGCACAGGACAGAAGCCAGGGCCGACATGTCGGTAAGAGCAACTGGGACTCCCTCCCTGATCCCTAGGCTTCCCCATGCCCAAGTAAGGCAGCTCACCTCTCTTCTCTTCCACACAGTTCCTGATTCCAAATCGAAAGAAGCGAGACACCAACTTCCCAATCTGCCTTTTCTGTTGTGGATGCTGTAAGAACATTCGACAATGTGGCTTCTGTTGCAAAACATAGAGCCGTGTGCCCCAATCTCTCAACACCCCAGCCTCCCCACAGCCCCCCGTTTATTTATAAGCTTGAAATAAAGGTGATGATTTTACTTTTAAACTACAGTGTCTGTTTGTAAACGGTGCTTCTTGTCCTGACAGCCCGATCCCAAATAAATACCCAGAGGCTTATATATTAATTACAAAATGCGCAGCCAATAGCTCAGGGTTATTACTAACTAGCTCTTACATTTAAATTAACCCATTTCTAGTAATCTAAGTATTGCCACGTGGCCGTGGCTTTGCCGGTTCTCCAGCATCTTACTTCTTGGGCAGCTTGCTGTTGTCTCTCCCAATTCCACCCTTCTTCATCCCAGTCCTCAGTCTGACTGTCCTGCCTGACTTCATCCTGCTTGCTGTAAGCCCAACAGCTTTATTATGAACCAATGAGAATAATGCATACAGTGTACAGAAGGATTATCCCACAGCATCTGTTTCTTTGGTTTGGTTTGGTTTTTACCCCTTAACAAAGGCTTAGGGACTTGTTGCAAGCCCTGCCGCCCAAGGGCAGTCACTCAGTAGGCTGTGCAGGTCTTATGCAAGTCTCCGTGCCTTGAGGCTGCTAGAAACCTGCATGAAGCCATCTGCTGTCTGTTCTTCGCTTTGTTCCCACGTCAGAAGATCTGAAGTTTATGTAGCAACATGGAAAGAGAGTTGAATAGACTTGCCTCTCAGTCTTGTTCTTTCTTTCTTTTTAAAATTTTTTTTTTTTTTTTTTTTTTTTTTTTTGGTTTTTCGAGACAGGGTTTCTCTGTGTAGCTTTGCGCCTGTCCTGGAACTCACTTGGTAGCCCAGGCTGGCCTCGAACTCACGGAGATCCGCCTGGCTCTGCCTCCCGAGTGCTGGGATTAAAGGCGTGCGCCACCACCGCCCGGCTAAAATATTTTTTTAATCAAAAAACAAAACAGACTAAAACACTTTTTTAAAATGTGTGCACATGTATGTGTGCCTGTGAACACATGTAACAGCCAGAGTAGCCTCAACTGGTACAGAACTTGCTTTGTCAAACTCAGAGATCCTTCTGCCTTTGCCTCCTGAGTCTTGGGATCAAAGGCCTGTGCTACCACATCTAGATCATTGCTTTTTCTTGGTTTTTGTTTCATTTAGTTTTTGTTTTTGTTTTGTTTGTTGTTTTTGTTTGTTTCATTTTTTTTCTTTTGTTTTGTTTTTGAGACAGGGTCTCTCACTGAACCTGGAGCTCACTGATTCCCCTAAACTGTCTGGCCAGTGAGTCTCTGGGACCACCTCTGTCCTCATGAGTGCTTGGACACAGACGCGTGCTGTCACACCAGCTTCCGATGCTGGTGCTGGGACTCAGGTTCTCACGCTTGTATGGCAAACACGTTACTCACTGAGCCAGCTCTCCAGCCTGACTGCTCTACTTTTAAAGGGACATAGAGAGACATGAGATGTAATTCACTATCCGTCCCAGCTTGTAGGATTATAGCAGCCTTAGTGGTGAGAAAGGACATTGATCATGTGGCCTCTGCTGAATCCTGGAAGAGAAATAATAGCCTAAATACATGGATCCCGGGGAGCTGGCCACCATGTCCAGAGGCAGGCCACCACTGAGAAGGGCATCTGCCTTTGTCAAGAGAGTCTGGAAAGCCTTCTTGTGAAGTATATTACTACTTTAAATGTTGGCACCTAAGCTGGGAATGGCCATTCAAACCAGCAGCAATAACAACCACAAAAAGTGCTTCTCATCAATTGGCCCTTCTTTTCCCCCAGTACTGGTTGATCAAAACCAGGCCTCACAGTCAAATACTTACACCACTAGGTATACCTTGAGCCCAAAGAGAATTCTTTTTAGTTACTTTTTTAGACAGGGTCTCATATAGTCTAGCCTGGCTTTGTACTCTCTAAGTGGCCAAGGATGACCTTGAACTTCTGACCCCCCCATTCTCTACCTCCTGAATTCTGGGTTTATAAATATGTGCCATCATGCAGTGCTGAGAATCAAACCCTTGTGTGTTCTAGGCAAGCACTGTGCCAACTTTGCCTACATCTCTATCCCTATATGTAGCCCAGGCTACACCAGAACTCACTATATAGCTCAGGCTGGCTTCTAAACTTGCTGCATTCCCCCTGCCTCAGGCCAACTAGCACTTAAAAAGAAAAAGAAAAATCAATCTATAGGACAAACTTAATTAAACTAGAAGCCAGCATCAACCTCATCCACCACCACCTTTTGCCATCAGAAACTCTAAGAGGCCGTTCGTTCATCTGAGGGAGGTGAAGAGACCCAACATAAAGCATACTTTTTCACAACCTTGCAGCTTTTGCCACCCTGGCTTCTCGACTTTAGTTTGTTTAACCTAACAAATGCAGGCACTGATCACAACCTCTGGTAGGGTTGGAGTTCCGGACAAGGAGCTACTCAGTGCAGCAGAAAGCAGCACCCCTCCCCCAACAGTGACGTCATAGACCCTGGTTCTAGGGCTAAGACACACACACACACACACACACACAGAGCAAAGCACAGGACTCATATTCCGGAAAATGTCTGAGCTCATGAAGAGCGCCGCCGCCTGGCCTGTCCCTCTCACCTCACCCACAATTTAAGGATATGACTTGAGCATCTTGGAATGAAGGTGGTCCAGAGTTCCCTGCAAGCCAATCACCCCAGGGTGAATGCAGATTGCCTAGATTCTCCGGTTGCTCAGCCCACTGAAAGGTCATTTCTCTTAAGACCCAAGCAGCTGTAGTGGACAAGGACCAGAAGCTAATTAGAGGTTTCATAAATGGAGACAGAAGGGACAGGGAGAGAGGACCCTGTGTAGCTGGAGTTTTCTCCAGTCCTGCCTGGCCCATGGCCAGGACAAATCTCTCTCACCCGCCAGTCCCACAGCCACTTAGACACAACCAAGTAAACACACAGAGACTTACATTGCTTACAAACTGTATGGCCGTAGCAGGCTTCTTGCTATCTAGTTCTTATATCTTAAATTAACCCATTTCTATTAATCTATAAGTTGCCACGCAGATCGTGGCTTACCGGTACCTTACATCTTGCTTTTCATGGCCGCGTCTCTCTGCCTCAGCCTTCCACTTCCCAGAATTCTCCTTTCTACTTGTCCCGCCTATACTTCCTGCCTGGCTACTGGCCAATCAGCATTTTATTTACACAGAGCGATATCCACAGCACTTCCCCTTTCCTTTTTTTTTCAAAAAGAAAGGTTTTAACTTTTTTTTTTTTTTTTTTTTTGGTTTTTCGAGACAGGGTTTCTCTGTGGCTTTGGAGCCTGTCCTGGACTAGCTCTGTAGACCAGGCTAGCCTTGAACTCAAAGAGATCCACCTGCCTCTGCCCCCTGAGTGCTGGGATTAAAGGCATGCGCCACCACCACCCGGCTCGGTTTTAACTTTCACATAGTAAAATTACAGATAACAAAACAATTATCAGGCAAGAATTACAATTACAATATTTAGTCTATTTATAATATCTAGTCTATTGGGCAAAATTAAAGAAGATATCTATCCTATATTTGTAAGCCTAAGGTTAAATATCTAACTTATCTCTTATCATAACTAAGGAAAATTATAACTATCTAGTCTTCAACTACATCAAAGACCTCAGAAGGATATAATAACACCTGAGAAACGGGAGATGGACGCAAGCAACTTTCGGGAGTCTTGCAAGAGTAGACAGAGACAGCTGGCAGCTTGGACAGTCTTTGGGACGCTTAACTACAGAAAAACATTTGATTGTAAAAGCTGTTGAGTTAAGCCAATATGTATATATTTTTTTCTTTTTCTTTTTTTTCTTTCAAGACAGGGTTTCTCTGTGTAGCTTTGCGCCTTTCCTGGAACTCGCTTTGGAGACCAGGCTGGCTTCAAACTCACAGAGATCCACCTGCCTCTGCCTCCCGAGTGCTGGGATTAAAGGCATGCACCACCACCACCCGGCGCCAATATGTATATTTTAAAGGTACCTTGGCTTCAAAATTTGGATGTAAGGATATGTTGCTTTGGAAAGGAGGCTCTGCTTTTGTTTCCACAGAAAGCCAGAGGCTATAAAGTTGTTCCAGATTAAGACACATCAAGCTTGACCAGCCAAGACCCCCTGAAAGGTCTCCGATGACACCATGGCCCAGATGATCCAACATCCAGAACGGTTTCAAGGTAACTGGCTCAGACAATACACCCTCACGGACTACTCTATAATCCTAAAATTTTCTTTGTGTCCCCATAAGATACAGCGCCCCCCTCCAGTAGGAAATAGTAAGAGAAGTTAGGGCCAAATTCCCAAATACCAACCTGGCTTTGGAGATGGAATTGGCTCACTCCTCCAAACCCAAGCATATTGCTAAAACAAAACAAAAACAAACAACAACAACAACAACAACAACAACAACAACAAAAAACGGTTAAGAGATTCTTGTGTCCCAAATCAAAAGAGCCCTCTGGTGTGGGACAGACAAAAAACAATATTTTTATTTAAAACAGGTTGATTATAAATGCAATCTCTTTCTAAAAAAGAAAAGGGGATAGTTTAGATATGATAGGATGAAAAGGTAGAGTAATGAACCTACTTTTAAAGAGTAACAACTTGTTTAAAATGTTTTACATTGCTATAGATTTTAGTTTATTGATACAAATTTAAAGTTAATTTTGTTATACTGTATATATATTTCTACTCTTGTTTGAGGTATTATGTTTATGTAACTCATTTAAAATTGTAATGGATAATTAAGAAATAGATTAATAATTAGTCATCTAGGATAATCATACTTGTAGCCATGTTAGTTAAGTCTTCTAGGTATACATAGATATATTTCAGATAGATAGGTAATCTTCAAACACTTCAAAGACCTACAAAATATGGCATTTAAAATGTTTTAAAAATTTGGACTTTCTGGACAATGAGACATGTCTGCTCCTGGCAGCACTGATTTACTTCAGAGAGGAGGATGGTCATTGAAGACACTCTGTATAGAGTTTATCTTCTTCTTGGCAAAAATAGCCATTTGGGCAAGAAACTGTTCTTGCCTGAACTGCTTGATCGACTGGACATGCAGGACCCATAGGAAGGTGACCACTAAACTTTGCTTGGCAAAATGGTCCTTTGGTGCCTGCTTCACAGAGGAAACTGCCAGACATTCTACAGGACACAGAGAGAAGTGACTGAGAGACTCTAGGCCTGAGGGCTGAAGACAGATGCCCCAACTTTACAAAAGAACTTTGGATGACTGGCCAGGCTGCCAGTTGTCGCTGTCTACTCTTGCAAGACTCCCGAAAGTTGCTTGCATCCTTTTCCTGTTTCTCAGGTAATAGTATATCCTTCTGAGATCTTTGGTGTAGTTAAAGACTACATAGTTATAATTTCCTTAGTTATGATAAGAAATAAGTTAGATATGAAACCTTAAACCCACAAATATAGGATAGATAGGATATCTTCTTTAACTTTGCCAAATACAAATAGATTAGATATTATAAATAGACTAAATATAATAACTGTAATTCTTGCTTGATAATTGTTTTATTATCTGTAATTTTACTATGTGAAAGTTAAAACATTCCTTTTTGAAAAAAAGAAAAGGGGAAGTGTTGTGGGATGTTGTGCATGTTAAATATGTTGCTCTGATTGGTTAATAAATAAAACACTGATTGGCCAGTAGCCAGTCAGGAAGTATAGGCGGGGCAAGGAGAGAGGAGAATTTTGGGAACAGGAAGGCTGGGGCAGAGAGATGCTGCCAGCCACCACCATGAGAAGATGTTAAGATACTGGTAAGCCACGAGCCACATGGCAACTTATAGATTAATAGAAATGGGTTGATTTAAGATATAAGAACAGTTAGCAAGAAACCTGCCACGGCCATACAGTTTATAAGTAATATAAGTCTCTGTGTTTACTTGGTTGGGTTTGAGCAGCTGTGGGACTGGTGGGTGAGAGAGATTTGTCCTGACCATGGGCCAGGCAGGACTGGAGAAAACTCCAGCTACAGCCCTGCTACAGAGGGCTTGATTCCTCATGGTACTGGCACTTTTGCCTGTTGAATTCTGTCAAGAAGAGGAGTGTAGCTGGGTGGCAGTGGCATATGACTTTAATCCCAGCACTCGGGAGGCAGAGCCAGGCAGATCTCTGTGAGTTTGAGGCCAGCTTGGTATACATAGGACAGGCACCAAAACTACATAGAGAAACCCAGTCTAAAAAAAAAAAAAAAAAGAAGAAGAAGAGGAGGAGGAGGAGGAGGAGGAGGAGGAGGAGGAGGAGGAGGAGGAGGGTAGAATTGTTTTTGAAAATCATTGAATGCCCCCTAAATGTGCAAAGTCAATATTAACAGGGCAGAGGTAAGGTCTCTCTCACCCCCTATTTTGCTTTGTTAAGAAATCAGAGTCTTGGACTGGAGAGATGGCTCAGTGGTTAAGAGCACTGACTGCTCTTCCAGAGGTCCTGAGTTCAATTCCCAGCAACCACATGGTGGCTCACAACCACTTATAATGAGATCTGGTGCCCTCTTCTGGCCTGCAGGGACACATGCAGGCAAAATACTGTGTACATAATAAATAAATAAATCTTAAAAAAAAAAAAAAGAAAAAGAAAAAAGAAATCAGAGTCTCACTGTAACCCCAGCTGTCCTGGAGCTTGCTAGCAGACTATGGGGCTGGAGAGATGAAGGGGCGTGTATGAGCACATACTGCTCTTTCAGAGGGCTAGAGTTTGGTTTCCAGCACCCAGGTCAAGTCACTCACAGCCACCTCTAACTCCAGCTCCAGGCGATCTGATGCCCTCTTCTGGCTTTGGAAGTTACCTGCACTCATGTGCACGTTCACCTGCATGTGTGCACACACTCAATTTTAAAATGATAAAAGTAAATTTAAAAATAAAAAGGAAGGTCTCAGCTTTCGCACCATCTCCCTTGAAACTCCTGAACCAAGAACTCAAAGTGGAGGAAGAAGCGAATGTGCAGGCTGAAGCACGAGAGAAGAAAGATGAGGCAGAAGTCCAAGTAAATTAGCCTGTGCACCCAAGAGGGCTGGAGCGGCAGATGTGAGGGACGCTGGAGGCGGAGGTGCTGCAGGCCGAGATGCCGAAGGCTGGGGCACTAGTCCAAGTTGTTGGCCTGTGTGCTGCTGTAGGTAGTAAGTCTCAGCGACTCTGGGACATCACCATCTGCTCTCTGAGATCACCTAAGAGACTACCTTCCTTGCAGCCAAAACAGTCCGGCTAGCCCTCTGGCCTGCACCTGTGGCATTCTGGACTAGTTCTGGTCTCACTTGGGGCCAAGTGTAACTCTTGTACAACCATCTTTCTCATTGTCTAAAATAAAAAATACGGATTAGTGGAGGTGTGCCTTAGAAGTTCCTGGAGGTCATCTGTTTCTCTCTCTGCTTTCTGGCTCCATGCAGGAAACAAGTGTCCACTCCTGCCACAATGCTCTGCCTGAGGCCCTCAGTGACTGATGGAGGCTCACAGGAACCTCTGAAACCATAAACTGAAACACATCCTTCCTCCTTTTAGCGTTTCCAGGGGTATTTTGCTACATTGGCAAAAAAGTAACTAACATGTAGCAAGCAGTGCTGATTACACTGAGTAGCTCTGGGCACCTCTCTCTCATTTTTGGACACATTTCTCCAGAAGGTCCAGAGCTGTGACAAGTGAAGCAGAGGGATTACAACTTTAGAGTGGGAGCCGGCTGTGGTGGCGCACACTTTTAATCTCGGCACTAGGGAGGCAGGAGCAGGCGGATCTCTGTGAGTTCAAGGCCAGCCTGGTCTATAGAATAAGTTCCAGGACAGCCGAAACCCTGTCTCAAACTGAGAAACCTTGTCTCAAAAAAAAAAACAAAACAAAACAAAAAAACCCAACAACAACAAAAATCTTCAGTGTGCACGAGAGCGGATCTTGTGCGATCTTATGGAAGCCTATTCAAATGAAGACCTCTGAGCCCCATCCCTGGAGCTTCCCATTCAGAAGACAGGCTAGACCTAGAAATTGTTGGCTTTGAGAAAAAGTCTCATTGTGTAGCTTTGGCTGGCCTGCAACTTGCTATGTTTATCAGGCTGGCCTCGAACTCACAGAGATCTGTCTACTTCTGCCTCCTAAATGCTGGGATTAAAGGCGTGCACTACCACTGCCCGGTTCAACTCCACATCTTAATCTCTCCACCCCTTGCCTCCTTTTTTGAGACAGGGTCTCTGGTAGGCAAGGCTGGTGTCAGACTATGTAGGTGAGGACCATCTTGAACTTCTGATTCTCCTTCCTCTGCCTTCTGAGTGCTGGAATTATAGACCTATGACAGTATACCTGGAATATGTGGGTCTGGGGCTCGAACACCAGGCTTTATGCATGCTAGGCAAGCACTCTACCAACTGAACTATAAGCCCAGGCCCTTGAATTTGCTACAGGACACAGCCCTGCAGCTGCTGCTGACCTGGACACCACACTGTGATGACCCTGGACATAAAATAGCCAGTCCTGACTAAGAGCAACAAAGGGACTCCAGGTTGGCCAGGCCCCAGCCCCGCCCCAGCCCCGCCCCAGCCCCGCCCCAGCCCCGCCCCAGCCCCGCCCCAGCCCCGCCCCAGGCCCCAGCCCCAGACAGCATTAAGAGATGAAGTCACTGTCAGCAATACGTGTCTGGAGATGGTTTCTCCTTTTGCATGCTATTTTGGATAAAATCGGACTAACAACAAAAATCATCACACCACACAAAATTTCTGTGTCTGCCCCCATTTATATATTGACGTCCTAAACCCCAGTCCTTCAGAATGTGACTGTAGTTGGAGATGGGGTCTCTTTTGAGGGAGGGAGGATAAGACAGGGTTTAATGCAGCTGAGGATGAGTGTGAACTGCCTCCATCTCCCAAGTGCTGGGATTACAGGTGTGTGCCACCATGGCTGGCTTTGGCGGTGGGTCTTTACTGAGGGTAGCAATTAAAATGGACCCATATTGGTGGGCTCTCATCCAATATGATTGATGTCTTGGCAAAAGGGGAGATTTGAACAAAGACAGATCCAAGTAGAACTCTGTGTGAATATGCAAACCTCCAAGTCCAGGGCTGGGTTGTGGAGGGGCTGGGGGGTGAGGGGCTGGGAGGCTGGGGCCTGGGGTAGATCCTCCTCTCTAAACTCAATAGGAAGTAACCCTGCTGGCAACTTGATTCTGAAATCGAAGCCTAAAGGATGTGACATAATACATTCTTGTTTGGAAATGTGTCCCCGGCCCCAGCCCTTGCAGACTGAATACCTGTTTTCTTAAAGGCATCGGCTGATCTGTGACAGGTAGCCCCTTACCCAGCCCCTCTCTGGCTCCCATTCCATCTGTTCCACCGTTATGGGTGGGCCCCGCCCAGTCCCCTGGCTCAATACCAGACTCTCAATGGGACTCACCTGCCAGTTTCCCTTCTCTAGGGACTGCCTCCAGTTCATACCTGGAGCCAACAGACTACCCCTCTGCACGGGAACACCAACTCAGTGACACTGGTGTAATTGGACACCTGTGGCGCAGGGCACCCTAGAATCTTCATATCTACCCCCAAAGTCCGGGCACCAGGGCTCTCTCTTCTCTGGAACCTAGGCTTTCAAGCCCCACCCCACTTTCAATGGACCATTGTCTCAGGCTGGGAAAGGCACGGGCAGAGGCTGACATCATGAAGCCTGAGGTGGGGGTGGCACTCCCCCCAACCCTAGTCTTCCTAACTCCTGATCTGATCCCTAGTCTAAGGGATTCCCCTGCCCTCACTCCTGGAAAAGAGGACTCTCCACCCCCTCCTCCCCCCTGCTCTGGCTTCTGCAGGGCAGTGAAACTCCTTGTGTGCCATGCCACCTCAACCACTCTGCCCACCATGCCAAGCTCATGCCTGATTTAGGACCATTGTGGACTCCACACCCAGAGGATCCTCACCCAGCTCAGAGAGCCATCACAGCCCTGTGTGCACAAAAGCCTTGTTTAGAGATCCCAAACAAATACACAGGCAGGCTTCTGTGGGAAGCCTGTTCTCTCACGGCTCCAAGCTAGACGAGAAGAAGGCAGGGACCAGAGAGAATCCCGAAGGGCAAGGTGGCCAGCTTCGGTCATGTTGAACTCTATGAAAAGAAAGGACAGTTTTTAAATGGAGGGTCAGAGGCCAGAGATGGTGTCACGCACCTATAATACCAGCACTCTGGAGACTTGGGCATGTTGTATTCAAGGCTAGCCTGGGCTACAAAATGAGCTGGAGGTCAGCCTGCATTATATATCAAGATAGCCTCAAAGAACAAATGAGAGAGAGAGAGAGAGAGAGAGAGAGAGAGAGACAGAGACAGAGACAGAGACAGAGACAGAGAGAGAGAGAGAGAGAGAGAGAGAGAGAGAGAGAGAGAGAATAGCTCAGTGGGTAACGGTGCTGGACACCGAGACTGAATGCCGGAGTTGGCTCCCTGGGGCCTGCATGATGAAAGGAGAGGACCGATTCCTACAGGTTGTCCTCTGACCTCCACAGGCAGCTGAGGTACGTTTACAAATCCACACACATACACTAGCAACTAAATAAACAAACAAGGCGCTGGAGAAATGGCTCAGCGGGTAAGAGCATTTGTTCTTCTCGAGGGCCTGGGTTCAGGTCCCGGCACCTACACGATGGCTCACAGCCATTTGTAATTTCAGATCCAGGGGATCTGATGCCTCGTCTGACTTCCACGAGCACCAAACACACAAGTGGTGCACGGACAGACATACGAGAAACAAAACACCCATACAGCCTGGTGGTGCTGGTGGTGCCTTTAATCCCAGCACTCAGGAGGCAGAGGCAGGTGGATCTCTATGAGTTCAAGGCCAGCCTGCTCTACAGAGTGAGTTCCAGGACAGCCAGGGCTACACAGAGAAACCCTGTCCCAAACAAAACAAAACAAAAAACACCCAATAACAACAAAAAACATCCATACACACAACATAAATCTAAGTAAGTAAATCAATAAACATAACTTCTAAGAGGAGAAACCGCTGCCTCCAGTGTTAAGTGCTGTGCTTCTGGAGGAGCAGGGCTGGGGTCGGGAAGGATGGGGTGGGACATCTTTCCAAGGACAAGGGATAAGAAAACATCTCTGAGTCCCAAATGCCATAGGGCGTTAGCAGACCCTATGCAAGCACTGTTTAACCGGTGGAGACTCAGGACAGCACAGATGGCCCTTGTCCCCACCGAGGGAAGGTGGCGAGCTCACCAAGAGACAGAGGCTAAGATCATTTCAGAGGACGAGAAATTCAAGGAGAAAACAGACCAGGAGGGGAAGCACCCTATGGAGGTGACTCAAGGTGGTGGAGGTGACTGTGGAGCCAAAGGAGGAGAGGGTGTGTCCCCTCCTCCTGGCAACCGTCTCCATTGGCCTCTTGGGACCAAGATCACACTTAATGTTGCCACCAATTCCTCGAAGACAACAGGTCTCACCTTTCAACAGGGAACTTTCAGAAACATGAGGCCACTCCTACCTCCTCAATTCCAAAATTAGGGTGTATATGAATGGAGGAAGGGGGAGGAGCAAGCAGGCAGACCCTCATCTTTTCTAGGAAGGAGCTAGTAGGACCCAGGCGTCAGGCTGCCCAGTCCCAGCTTTGTGGTGACAAGGGCCCCTTTGTGCCCCCCTCCCCCGAGGGCAGGGAGGAGCTGGGCCCTGGAGGCAGGCGGCCCCTGGCACCCGGGGGGAGAGGAGGGGCTGGCAAGTGGGGGCCTAGACCCTGGGAGGCCAAGGGACTGTGAGCCAGGCCAGCGGAGCAGAGGGTGCAGAAGCCAGACCATCCAAGTGAGTACTGAGGCAGAGAAGGCTAAGGTGAAGGAGGGGCGAACTGCCCCCAGGGGGTCGGGAGCACTGGTAGCCAGGGCACATGCAAGGTCAGGTATGCCAAGAAGCTGAGGAGCGTCACTGTGAACTGGAGGGTCACTCATTTTGAATGGGGCAAGGTGTCGCTTTGTAAGGGATTGGGATCTTAGTGGAGACAGCAATGGGGCTTTGAGAAGAAGAGACAAGGGGACCTCGATCATGCACACACCTCATGATGGAGGCAGCTTCTGCAGTGCCAACTCCCCGGGGGTTCCCAAAATTGGGAGAGATGGGACAGTGGTCTGGGCTGAGGGAGAAGGCAAGGATGCAGAGGTATTAGATACTTAAAGCCACCATGTGGAGGAGGGTGAGGCCAGCAGGCTGTGAACACCTGGGGACACGGTGGGGTGAGAGGGTGAGTGCGCTCGGGTCCACCTCCCCTTGCATCCGTCTGTGTTCGTGTCCTCAACTCTTTCTCATCATCCTCTCTAAGGAGGTTTGCAGGTGTGTTTTTTCCTGTCTTCACTCCTCCCTTGGATTTGTTTTCGTTTGTTGAAATAGGGCCACGAATAGCCCAGGCTAACCTCCAACTTGCTAAGGTGGCCCAAGCTGGTTTTGAACTCCTGATCCTCCTGCCTCCCTTCCCATGTTCTGGGATGACAGGTGTGCTGTCACTATGCCTGGCTTCTCCAATGGAAATTTAACACTACAGATTTGGGATCTGTTGGTTTTACAAATACTAGCATTGTGATTCTTTAGCACGCTTCAAATCAGTGTCCTAGCTGGGGCTGCTTGGGCCCACCCCAAGACTACAATTTGCCCCAGTGGAGAATGCATAGTGTGCGTGCCTGTATCACCCATCTGCCTCCATTGAATCTGTTGGTTCTCACCTCTGGGTATCTTCAGGTCCTTCCAGCCACAGCTGCCCTGCGCCCGCAGATGTGTCTGGGTGGAGTGCTCCGTAGTCACACCTCAGTGTGTGTGCAGGTCCTTGTGACTTGTGAGCTTGACAAGCAGAGCCATGACTGCCCGGGCGTGTATGTCGAAAACTGAGGGCAGTCAGGTGGTCTCTGCACCGTGCACAGATGCTTCTCTGTAGAAACAGGGGTCTCAGGGTCAGGATGTGTCCTCACGAATCTCCGAATCTCCATTGTGTGAGTCAGTTCTTGCTGGCTGTCACATTTCCTACTAGCGTTTGCATGTTTCTGGGCATGTGTCTGCATCTGTGGGAAGAAGGCAGTCAAGGCAGGGTGAGGGGAGGGGGAGCAGCCACTTCAAAATCCTGGCTCCAGTCCCAAGCGACCCACAGAGCAGCGGGGGGCCAAGAGGCCATCACCTCTGGCTCTTCCTGGACCCTCACAGAGCTCAGTCAGGAGCGACCAAGTTCTCACTCATGCCCCACCTACCCCCAGGAGGTCCCTAGGATGGGGCACCCACACCCCCAGGGGAACAGGGCTCTTTTGTATTGGTCACTGGCCTCTGGTGAGGGTGGGGACACCCAGGGCCTGCTGCGGGTGGGAGAGGGCGGCAGGAATTCACACGGCATGTTGGGAATGCTGATGTTGTGAAACCCAGTCATTGATGAGGCTGGGTCCCTGCCTGCCACCCCCAGGCCTCATCTGCTCCTTCACCCCACTCACCACTCGCTGCTCCCCTCAGCCTAAAGCTACCACTCCCTTCCCTCCCCACAGTTCTCCCACACCCCAGCTTTTGTGGGGGGTGTTGTTGTGGTACAGTATCTTTGAGGCTGTGTGGGAGCATCCTGGGCATCCATGGGTACCAGAGACCACATGGATGTTCTTACAACAGGACACAGCCCACAGTACACACGGAAGAGCAGGGTGGTGGGTGCTCAGGCCTTCACCCCTAACTCCTGTCTGACTTGTGTTCTAGGTTGACTGGCCATTTCAAGTGGAATCAGGAGATATTCCCAACTCAGGGAGACTGAGGTAATGGGTAAAATACCCATGTTTTCTTGAGCCCGATAACCCACTTCTGACTACAGGAGGAATGCTGGCTCCGCCTTTGCCTAGCACTCTCTGAGAGGTGGAGAAGCCGGGATGATGGTACTTAGGTCATTGTTAACCTGCCACTACCACCCAGAGACAGCACAGCGTGGCTGCAAAGTCTGCAGAGCCGCTGTGGTGTGATCTTGGGCAAGCTTTGTATCCCTCAGGACTTGAGATGTAAACAGTAATTGCACCCACCTCAAAGGCACCAGAGTTGTAACCCCGGTGCCCACTTGAGCTATGAGAATGACAGACATGAGCCAAACAGAGCCCTAAATGATCTGGCTGCCCACTGAAGAACAGTTGCTCCTATTATTCTAGAGACATCTGGGGCTAAAAGCAGGGGAGAACTGGGGTCAGGAATGAGGTGTCAGGGCCCCTGCTTGGGCTGGGTAACTTTGGGCAGCTTGCTCAACGTCCCTGGGTGACTGGCTTCAAGCCTGGGAGCTGTGCCCATCTTCCAGCACCCAGCTCTGATGAGCAGAATGTGGGGTCATTGCAGAATGAGGCACTGAGGCCTGGCATTTATAAATGACAACAGCAGATAACCTCCTGTGGCCTTTTCCAAACTCACTTTTAGCTGCTGGTGGTGGACGCCTTTAATCCCAGCACTCAGGAGGCAGGGACAGGTGGATCTCTGTGAGTTCGAGGCCAGCCTGGTCTATAGAGTGAGACCCAAGAGAAACCCTGTCTCAGAAAAGCAAGCAGCAGCAACAACAACAACTCACTCTTGTTCCTCTTCAGCCGTAGCTTGCTCACTTGCTGGACAAGATGATATTCCTCACCACACTGCCTCTGTTCTGGATAATGATTTCAGGTAATGGCTGGGAGACGTGTCCCAACCCCAGCACCCCAGTCCAGTGGCCCATGTTGGGAACTGTTGGAGATAATGCAGTGGGCTCTGTCCCTCAGCTTCTGTGCTCCTGCCCACCTATAGCTTCTCGAGGAGGCCACTGGGGTGCCTGGATGCCCTCATCCATCTCAGCCTTCGAGGGCACATGTGTCTCCATCCCGTGCCGCTTCGACTTCCCTGATGAGCTCCGACCGGCTGTGGTCCACGGCGTCTGGTATTTCAACAGTCCTTACCCCAAGAACTACCCACCGGTGGTCTTCAAGTCCCGCACACAAGTGGTCCACGAGAGCTTCCAGGGCCGCAGCCGCCTGCTGGGAGACCTGGGCCTACGCAACTGCACCTTACTTCTCAGCACGCTCAGCCCCGAGCTGGGGGGCAAATACTATTTCCGAGGGGACCTGGGTGGCTACAACCAGTACACCTTCTCAGAGCACAGCGTCCTGGACATCATCAGTGAGTCGGTCCCCCAGGGTTGAGTGGGCTCTGGGGGGCTGCAGCAAGGTTGGGTAGGAGAGGGAGGAGCAGGTGGGCGTCCTCAGCCCCTGTGCCACCAGCTCTGAATGGCAGACCCAGAAGAGGTCGATTTTGCTGGATGCAAACCCCAGTGCCCACGTGGGTCACATGGATGGCAGACATAAACAAATCGGGCCCTGAGTAGTCTGGCTACCCTCTGAGGTTGCTCTTATTCTTCTAGAGACATCTAGAGCTAAAGACAGAGGGGACCCGGGGTCAGGGGTGAGGCCTCTAGATGCCTGCCTTAGTTGGGTGACCTCGGGCACCTTGGTTACATTTGCTGGATCTTAGTTTTCTCATGTGAAGGGGAGCTAAGAACAGCATGACAGCAGGTGGGTCATGGTTTTAAGACTGGGAACTGTTTGCAGTACCAGATCTAAGCTCTGGCTGGTAGACACAGGACCATTGCTGTCAGGCACAGTTTGCCATAGAAACCAACACTGGAGGTCTCGGGGTAAAGGCCAAATTCTTGTCCTTGCCTTGCATGGTTCTATTCCTAATATGACAGAGAGGGGGTGGGGTCACAAAATGGCTCAATGGCTCAAATGGTGCTTGCCCCAAGTCTGACAACACAGATTGAGGATGTAGCTCAGTGGTAGAATGTTAACTACATGTATGAGGTCCAAGAGTCAAGCCTCAAAACTGTGTTTGCAGGGGAGGGAAGAAAAGGGGGAAAAATCTGCAGGTAGCTATGGTCAGGTTTGGCAATTAAAACAGAGGCCCCTTCCTGGCTTCAGGGACTCCCACTGCCTGATTTATGAGAAGCTTCCCTAATTAGGGATCTTAGGCTATGTTTCCCAGCAGTATTTGGTCTTTGTGGGTAGCCAGACCACAGCCTTAACATAGAAAGAGACCACGCCACACATGCAGCACACCAGGGCATACATGTATCACACACCCAAACCATGCACATGGCGTCCACAAAACATGCCAGCTCCTCACTCCTATAATATACTTGTCTTAATTTGCTTTCTATTGCTGTGATAAACCCAGTGACCAAAAGCAACATGGGAGGGCTGAGCATATTACAGTTAATGCTCGGGTCAGAGTTCACCACTGAGGGAAGTCAGAGCGGGGACTCAAGGCCTCCTGGAGGCAGGAACTGAATTCAGACCACAGAGGATTGCTACTTACTGGCTTGCTCCTCAGTCTCACATCCTGCAACTTATCTCATACCTTCCAGGACCACTTGCCCAAAGATGGCCCTGCTCACAGTGGCTAAATCCTCCCACATCGATCATTAACCGAGAATCGCAGACGTACCTGCAGGGGGCCCATCTGATAAAGCCATTTTCTCAGTTAAGGTTCCCCTTCCCAGATGACTCATGTCAACACAAAGCCAACCAGGACAATACTACATACTCATACACACACACCGCACCCTGCCAACTGCTCCCCT